ACACACACACACACACACACACACGCACAGCCACCCACCCCTGGGGACTTGGTGTCCGCCTCGCAGCTCCGGCCCGCAGGCCGCTGTCAGGCTTCAGCACGGCGTCTGCTCACGCACAGGCCAGGCCGTGCGCGGTCCCCAAGCGGACAGGACGCGGTTCAGACCCTCGCTGCCCGAACAACCACCGACGTCAGCACCTGCCTTAGCCGCGGCCGCCGCCGGGCTGGGGCAAAGGACTGTGGCCAGAGCCAAGGGGAGGACGGGAAGCCCTCCCGCTCCCACGGAAGCGTCAGAACAAAGTGCGGATGATTCCGAAGGCGCGGATGAGCCACAGGAGGCACGAAAAGATGCCACTTAGCACGGGAAGCGACGCGCCTCCCAAACGGCCTCATATTCGGTGTCTGAAGCCCTCCCGACGGCTGAACCCTGGGATTCTGCGTGACCCCCGAACTCACGCCCGCCGTCTGTCTTCTTTTAAAGTGAGAAAGCACTAGAAAAGGGGGCACCGCAGACCCCACTCGCAGTCCTCTGGAACCCCCACTTCACGGAAGACAACGCACAGTCCCGCTCCGCGAGGGGACGCCGGGCAGGGGACGCGGACCCGAGAAGCCTCTCGGCACAAAAGCCAGATGTTCTCGGACTCGGCCGTGTGTGCTGACACACGTCAGCTGGATCCCAAGCGGTGTGACCACAGAATGTGACAGAGCTAAAAGCAGACGCCTTGCCGGGAACGTGCCCGGTTCTTAAGGGTTATTTTTAACGTCTCGAAAGCCAGAGAAGGTTTTAATTGGCATTCTGTGCAAACATGAGAAGGTCGGGGTCTGAAGGAGGCTGCCGGGGCACAGCCGGCTCCCCGAGGGGTGACAGTGGCCCCGAGCCCCCCGCCCGCGCCGGGGACATGCAGGCGGCCCGCCGGGGGCACTCACGATTTTCCGCTCGTAGAAGGCGCCGCTGCTGTAGGTGGTGGCCAGCGTGGACGCGCACTCCTCCAGGTACCACGGCCGGTGGCCGTTCTCGGTCGTGCTGCTCACGGAGATGGTGTAGATGCTGTTCGTGTAGCCGTCACAGGAGCAGTGGTCACCTTCCCGCCCGCCGTTCCCGGACGCCCAGACGAAGATGGAGCCCAGGCCGTGCCGGCCCTGGAGGGGGCACGGGACAGGCGTCAGCCCGGCCGCCGGGGCCCCGCGGCCCGCGGACGGTCCCTCCAAAGGGGCTAGGAAGGGTGCGCTCAGACCACGTGCACGCACTGGGGACACGGGTTTGAATCTGATGGTGGAGAGAGCCTGAAAATGGCAGAGTCGCGGGACCTGGCTGGGGAGACGGCCCAGTGGGCCTCTCTGTGCTCTGCGGGAAAGCCAGGGGCCGCCACGCCAGCCGGCCCAGCCCAGAGCTGTGCCTACGATGCCCATCGCGGTGACCTGGGGTCCCAGGACAGGAGCTGAGACAGAGATGAGGGCTGAACTTGGATGAGCGAGCGGCCGTGGGGGACATGGCGAGCTTCCCAGAGCCCCCGCTGGAGAAGCGCTTCTCCGGGACAGCGAGCCGCTTTTGAAAGAGGGACGAGACCGTGAACTCTGCGCGAAGACCCAACGGGTAGAAGGGGGGACGGGTGCCCGGGGCTGCCCGTGCCGTCCGGGGAGCGGCCAGTGTCCCTTCCGTGCACCTCCAGGCGGTCAGGCTGTCCTGCGGGTCCCCTCGCGTGCAGAATCCCGTTTTCAAACGCAGCCCCGTTCTCTCTGCACCCACAGCGCCCAGCGCTGGCCCAGCCTCGAGCACCAGCTGCGTCAAGACGCCAGGGACCCGGGCGGCTCGAGCGGCTGCGGCTGCTCCAGGGGACGCTGCAGGCCCGGCCGAGCACCTGTCCTTCTGTGCGGGAGAGCGACCACCTCGACCGGTCCAAACCGATGTCGGCGTCGTGCCTGGGAAGCGGACAGCTGACCCGCGAACCCGCGGGCGCTGGTCCTCAGGGCCGGCAGGTGCCCAGCGGCTGGACGAGGCGGCGTGAACCTGCCCTCCGACGGCAGTGACGAGCGAGGCTTTGTAGGGACCCACCGTAAACAGGTCTTTCTGCCGAATCCTGGCTTCGGAACCTTCTCCCGCCACCAAACCACGTCACCTGCCTAAGGTGAGGCCAGATTTTATAGAAAATGACCACAGGTGACAAACGGGGTTCTAAGGAGGAAAAACAGTGGGGAGCTGTGGATCGTTTGAGATCATCCAGTTTCCAGGATTTTCCGAGGCAACTTCAGACAGCTGCGATTTGAGTCTCCCTACGTGACATATTTTACTTTACGATGACTTTAAAAAAAAAACAAAAACAAAGAAAGAAAAAGAAATGACCTCAGTCATTCAAAATACAAGAATGGCAGGGACACGCGGTCCCCTCTGCAACCTGCTCACTCGCTACGATGCTGCTCAGACTCCGAGTGCAGAGTTTCTGTCCGAGCCCCAGACGTTCCAGCGTCCCGGAAACGGGGGACCCGTCCAGAGATCTCACACGGTCGCACGGCCCCTCGCGGAAATGACAGCCGCTCAGAGCGAACGCCGTTCAGGCACCGTCTTCCAGGCGGAATGTGCGGCCTGTGACTGGCAGCTTCCATGAAGCTTGATCTTTAGCAGGCTGCACTAGTCATAAAGAGTGGACTGCGCCATCTCAGTGATGGAGCGGGTGGCAGGAGCCGGGGCTGGGGAACATGAGACCTTTTGTTTGGCGCCCCTGGTGGGCAGCACTGCGTGGCCAGGCCCGGACCTCCGAGCATCCCCCGGCCAGCACGTGGCGTGGTTCAAGCGCTCAGCCGCCTGACTGAAGCAGCCTCCTGCGTTTTCTTGGCGTCCTGGGGACAGTGGAAGCTGCCTGGTGTCCCCAGCATGAGCGCGAGGTCCGGCGCTGTAGACGGGTGGTGTGTGTCCACACTCGCTTTTCTTGTCTTCTTGAGGGTGTGGCTGAGCAGGGCGCTCCGAGGGACACGGGAAGGGACGCCCTGCTTTTGGTCACTAGCTTCTCAGACATTCGAGGCGAGCCCCACGGTGGGGGAGGACGGGCAGCGGAGGGGGAGCCTCTGCCTCAGCCTCAGGAAGCAGCAGCCCCTCCAGAGGGCAGGTGGCCCCGACGCCCACCGAGGGCTGGCCCGGAAGTGTGAGGGACGGGGGGACACCTAGGCATCCAGCGGGGACGGCTGGCCAGGCTGGGGGCATCCTAAGGATACTCAACCCCAGTAAAAGGAAATCAATAGAAAATAACACATCCAGAAAAGCAGTCAAATCGTACCGTTTAGGAAAAGATCATAAACGGTTCAAAAAGCAGCCCCCTGGGGCCGGCCTGGGGGATGGGCGGGGCGATGAAGGAAGGCCGCCTTCTGACCACATTTTAATCGGGGTGCACAGGTTACATGACATAAGTACTTCCAAGAAAACTTTTAAAAATACATAAATAAAATCAGCTCACGCCCCGTCCCTCCCAACAGGAGAAGTCAAAGGGACAACGGCTCCGCATGGCTGCCTAGGTTTCCTGCCCAAACTCCCGCGGGCGTCTCCCCTGGCACAGCCCGTGCTCTGGGCTGGGGCTCGTTGGCCACTCGGGGCCACCCAGACACTGGGCACAGCTGTCTGCTCCAAGAAGCTGTCTTCGCCCAGAAACGGGTTTTGCCGCGCTGCTTGTCACAGCTGCCTCGGCTCCGGCCCCCAGCCCTGCCCCCAGCCTGTGTGACTCACAAGGACCGGGAACGGATGATCGGAGCGACTGGGGTCGGCCCCCGGGCAGAGCCCGCCAGCCCCCTTGGCGTGCCCTCAGCTGCTCAGGGACGGCCAGCGCTGGGGTGTCTGCTGCTCAGTCCCAGGCGAGGTGCCATCCAAGGAGCAGCGCCTGCCCACGGTGGCTCAGGAGGCGCCGGGAGGCTGGGGGCCAGGCCACCGCTTGCACCCGTACAGTGCAGACGTCAGGCCGGGTGGCCTGCTAGGACCCGTGCCACCTACCCGCATGCCCCCAGCCAGGACACTCGGGCTGGGGGGCAGCGTGACGGGGCTGGCAGATGACCAGCCGGCCGGCTCGCGCTGGGACAGCTTTCTATGACGGGTGGCGCACGGCCACTTCCCTGAGCCCCTGGGCGACCCCGCCCTCGCTCTGGTCCCAGAGCAGAAGGGACTTCCCGGCCCCTTCCGAGGCTCCGGCCTGGGTCGCTCTGCTTTTCCGCGCCCTCCCGGGGAGCCCGCCGCAGCCCCGGCCACTCACACCTTTTTGACGCCGTACTCGAAGGCCTGCTTGGCCAGGCGGCCCGGCCCGTCCACCGTCTTCCCGTCGTCGTCCGGCCCCCAGCTCGCGCTGTAGATGTCGATGTAGCCGGGCCTGATGCCCAGGGACTTGGCCTCCACCACGTCGGTGACGTCGCCGTCCAGCATGCGGACGCCTGCAGGCACAGAGGCTCGGGGTGTGCACGCGTCCCCGACACTGTGGCCCGGGGCAGGCAGGACGCACGCGGCCCCGGGCCGGGTGGGAGTGACCCCCGTTCCCCCCGACATCACTCTGGACACCCTTCCCCGTTCTCTGCCGATGTGGAGGCTAAAAATGACACCAGGCCACGTGGCGGTGGCCCCAAGGCACGATGGCGACAAAGAAAACAAAGCTCCTTGGAAAAGCGAGGATTTAAACAGCTTCCTCGACCACGTGGACGTTTCTACAGCGGATCTGAGTCGCTCTCCCGGCCGTTAATAGTTTATATTCGTTTCTCTACTTAAAAACGTGACTGCATTTGTGATTTATAACTAAGAGCCTATAACCTGGAAGAGGGGAGGCCATACCCTAGCCTGGTGAGGACAGCGACGCCATCCCCGTGTGCTCCCTGGCCAGGGGTCTGTCCTCCTTGTCCCGTGCCCGGCGTTTGCCTCCGTTACTACCGACACGCTGCGCCCACCCCGGCCTCTCGACGGGGAAGCAGGGGCCGTGACAGCCACCAGCATGTCCCGCCCGGATACCAGCACGTGGCTGAAGTCGGGCCCCTCGGAGGCTCCGGGACCGTCCGCCGCCCTGCCGGGACCAGCACGCTAGGTGGCCGCTCAGTGCCCACGGCGCCCACCCAGAGGCCCCAGGCGCCCCTCCTGGATCCGGCCCGGCTCCGCGCCTGCGGCGGCCCCGCCTTCATCAAAACGAATTTAAACCTTAGAGTGACTGAAGACCTAACAGAAAAGAGGACTTTTTCTGATGAGACTGACAGATGCTCCCGCAGAAAGTCGGGGAAACACAGAAATACCTACGACAACACGAGAGTTATTTTCTTCTCGTATTTTCTCTGCCCGCAGCTTAGCATCTTCTCCAAGTTCTTTTTCCCACTGAACTTTACATAGGACCTTTCCCTGCGCCCCTTAATTCCCCCAGCGCACGACTGCGACGGCTTGCAGCCCCGCCCGTGCACCCCCAGTCCGGACGGCATTCTTTCGGGGGTTCACCTCACCAAGCAGAGGGTCCCCTCTCCCCCAACCAGGCTCGATCTTCATTCTCTGTCCCAGAATCCACAGCGACATATAGTAGGTGCTCAAAAAACAGGAACTCGGGATATAATTGATTTTTAAAAACAAAATGAACAAAATGCTGACTTTGCCCGCGGTTAAAAGAGATGGGGTGGCCCACGCGGGAAGGCGGTCCTGTGGGGACATGTCCCCAGGCGCTCGGGGACCAACGTTTGACGTAAACTAAAGCCTCCTGTGCCATCTGCTGAAAACCCAGGCGTGGGCAAGCTCTGCCATCACGCCCATCCTGCTGGCTCTGAGGGACACGGAGTGACAGCTCTACTCCACGGGCCTCTCGTCAGGAGGTGACGAGGCGTCCCTGTCCACTTGCCGTGTGGCACCACGTCAGCACGCGGACGACGGTGGCGCTCCTGGGCCCCCTGCAACCAGGGGCCGAGGTCCCGCCATCGTCAGCCTGGGCACCGCGGCAGAGACCCGGACGTGTATCCCGCCCGGTGCTGGAGGCCGCGGTCCAAGGTCCGGTGTCCGTTCGATCCCCCGGGGGGCCTGCTTCGCGGGTCGCTGACGGCCACCTTCTAAACTAAAGACGGTAGCTCACGTGCAGCGCCTGGCACCCCACACGCACGCGATGTGCGTGTTAGCGGCTGGTGTGACCCCCTTAGCCTCTCTGTCCCCATCCGTACACACGGGGCAAGGCGCCTACCTCCAGTGACAACTAACGGTAACGACTTTTTACCCTTTTTAAAAACATACGCAGGTTGACATGTGTGAAGGGTGGCATGTCACATACATGGTAGTTACAGAGCCTATAAAATAACGGGCACCGTGACATCTCCACCCAACGCACGTACGAACATGACCCAGTGGGGCCTCCACCCGTGCCCCGCCCTCACACACAGGTGAGTGCCCAGGATTCTGGATGGTTCTTTCCACTGCCTCTTAAAAACGAGCGTTTTAATACAGCTGTACACGTGCTTAAACAACGCACTCAGTTCTGCTCGTACTGGGAACGAATCCTTTGCTGGTTACGCGTTGTAAACATCTTCTCCCAAGTGATGCTCTGCGTTGTTTACGGGGCCGTTGGAGAAACAGAGTTTCTTAGTTTCCACAGAGTGAAGACCGATTTCCCTTTGAAGATCGAGGCAGTTACAAGGGGGGGGCGACGTCTTTTCCGGTTTGTCAGCAGCACCTGTCGTGGGGTTCGTTCTCTCTTTTACAGGCGGGGCGGAGGGCGCCCCAACCCCCCACCCCCTTACGCCAGCTCACTGCACCTTCACCTTGCTGATTTCCAGGTGGACAGGGGTCAAGGTGGCCCGAGGCTGTCCCCTCCCCTAGTCACTGGTCCACGTGCCCAGGGCTTCTGGTTCCTGGTTCTGTCAGACACACTGGGCCCAGCCAGGTGCTCTCTCAGCCGTGAACCCCAAGAGAGGCGTCAGAGCCAGGACGGGACGCTGGTGCTATGGTGTGGCCAAGGTGTGGCCCCCGGCAAGGAAACAGCAGGGGACAGAGCCCTGGGGCGGGAGCTCGGCTCTGTGTGACCCTGGGCCAGGTGTCAAACTCTCTGGCCCTGAATTCCAGCATCTACCTGGCGGGGGCTGAGAGCATTAAATCCACGCCGAGGCCCCGGTGGCCGGTGCTGTCTGGGGACCGGCAGCTGCGTTCCTCCGCCCTTACTCTCGGCCACGGACTCTGGGACAGGAACCCTGCCGGCCACACCGGCAGCCCAGGTCGACCGATCCCGGAGGTGAAACCTGCCCGCTAGTCTAGGACTTCTCTGTGCGACTCAGGTGTCAGAGTGCCTGTTTCTGAACGAGAAGAATGAGATGCCATAAGACGTCCAAACGCACGTGGAAACATGTGACCAGCACGGCGGGCTGACAGCTCTCACGATGCTCTTCACCTCGGGGGACAGTGACCGAGGTGTGACGAAGAAAGCACGGTGCGTGGAGATTTGAACGAAGCATCCGTTTTCCCCAACAAAGAAAAGGTAAATATTTTCGGTAGAAGCCTGCCGTTCCGATATTAGCTTTAAAAGTGGAGGGCTCTGGAAATGCCCAGTTGAAGAAAAACAGTAATCATTTCTCTAATGAAAAAAGAAAGGGCCGTTTGCCACAAATTGGCAGGGACAAAAAATCATCTGGACAGAGCGTGAGGATGGCAAACGCACTCCGGTCGTTCGCGTGCTCGGGATGGCTGCGGTGAGTGGGGTTCAGAGCTCAGGTGGCAGGAGGCCCAAGGACCAGCCTGGGGCCACGAGCTGGACGCAGCCTTGGGCAGGAGGGGTGGCGATTTGCAGGAGGTGACGAGTTTGTGTCAGCGGATGACTCAGAGCGCGAGCAGAGCCTGCTCCCCGGCAGGCGGCACTGGTTACACGCGGGAGAGAGTCACGCAGGCCGTCCCCGCTTTACGCGACATACGCTTTCCCATAAAACTGCCTGAACCCGACTTTTTAAATTCCCTGGGCGAACTTGCCAGAATGAATGAGTTTCCGATACGTAGGTCGACTCAAAGACCAGCAGCACGTTCTTCATAGTGCTTCCCCGCTTACTTCTGGGTTTTCATGCGACTTCCCCAGTGGCACCTGCATCCTTAGGGTGGGCCCATCGACGCAAGGCAGCACGGGGCGCAGCACCCCCAGAAATCACCGAGGAAGCTCCAGTTACGAGGCGACGGGAGGGTCAGAGCATGACTGTATTTGGGGAAATGGTCTTGAAAGAGGTAATTAAGCTAAAACGAGGTCATGTGAACAGGCCCTAATCCCACGTGACCGGGGTGCCATAGAAGAAGGAAATACAGACCCCGGCAGCGCACAGACCGGGGTGACCACGCGGGGACACAGCGCGAAGTGGCCACCTGCACGCCGAGGACAGAGGCCTCGGCAGAACCCGCAGCTGCCAGCTCCTTGGCCATGGACTCCCCGCCTCCAGAACCGGGGGACAACACATTTCCATCGAGTAACAACGGCAAAGCTGGCAACGGAAAGCACACGACACGTGCACAGACGCACACCGACGTGAGAAGCCGGCCGGGCGGGCCACGCCGGGACGAAGGCGGCCAGGACGTGGCCGTCCCGCTATGGAGAAGGGACGAATTTTGCCTTCGGCAAACGGATGGCAACGAAGATCGGGTGGCAGCGTCCGGGGCGTGGCAAACGCCTCCCCAAGTCTTGCTCGTCGGTCCTGAGTTTACTGGCGTAAACCCAGAGCGTGGTCGCCCATGTCCCCCGCGGAAGCGGCAGCGCGTCCCGTTCCAAAAGCCATTCTGGGCCAAGCGAGGTTTCCACAGCTGTTTAGAAATGGTGCAAAGCTAAATGGTTTGGGTAACTCCCATTGTCGCCTAAGACAGGAACAGGACTCTCAAATCTCTGACACGACACCCAAAACGACGACCTCGTTCTACGAACCCGTGGCACTGCGTGCGCTCCGCCGAAGTGTCCAGGCACATCCACACTCGCCACCGTCACCTAGGGGCTTGGAGACCAGCGCTGACCACCCGGCCCGGTCTCTCTCAGCCTCCTGCTCCGGTCCTGACCCCCAGCTGCAGCCCCTGCCTCCCCCTCCAGAGAGGAGGCGCTGTGGCCAGTGGCGCACCCGCCGGCCCACGGGCCTGTCCCGCCACGGAGCCCTAGGCCCCGGGATGAAGCCGTCCGGGCAGGGTCTGGTGTTAACCGTGCTTTAGTCTCTGGGTTCTGACACTTTGACATCGTGGGGCCTCGCTGACCCTGCAGGCCAGACACCCCCGGACCCCAGAGCCACCGATTCCTAGCAAAAGCAAACGACCCCCCTGTGGGTGGTCCTTTCATGTGGAAGCCACCGCCAGAGAGCCTGCGCCCCGCCACCGCAGAGCCTGCGCCCCGCCACCGCAGAGCCTGTGCCCCGCCACTGCAGAGCCTGCACCCCGCCACCGCAGAGCCTGCGCCCCGCCACCCCTCCAGGGGCTCTCACACTCGGGCCACACTCCCTGCCCACATGGCCAGCTGAGGCACCGGACACCAGGGACGGACCCACACCCAGGGCCGCGCAGTCGGTCGGGCCGGCCAGTCGTGAGCCTGCGGGCCCCGCCTGCCTGTCGCTTCCTAAAAAGCACAATGAGGCCTCAGCCCACTCGTCCCTCGCTGTCTCCGCCTCCTGCCCAACCTGGCACTTTGCGGGGTGCCCGCCGCCCACGGTGTGGCGTGGCCCCTCCTCCTGGGGGCTATGAACGACCAACTGTTCAACAGCCACTGTCTCCTGATCCGCTGGCCTTGCCACACGTAAATAATAATGAAAGTTGCAGTAGAAACTGGGAGGGCCTCGGCCATCTCACCCGTCCCCCGGGGAGGGCATGGCTACCAGGAGAAGCAGGGTGAAGAAGCTGCGGCCCGTCCTTGTCCACCTCCTCCTCCCATGGCTCCTGCTGAGCCTGGGGATGCTGGGGCCCAGCAGGCAGGGGTGTCGGATGAGAGTAGAAGGGTGAGGGGTGGGGAGCCCCAGTCCCACGAGAGCACCCTGACGTTCCTTCGCTCAATCCCCCAAAGTTCTCAGCACAACCGAAATGCCAGCGCGGCTGCAAACGCCCTCA